ACACTCCTCCACTGATGGTGGGAGTGCAAACTCGTACACCCACTTTGGAAATAAGTGTGGCAGTTCCTCAGCAAAATGGGAATCAGTCTACCACACGATCCAGCAATTCCACTCTTAGGCATATACCCAAAAGATGCACATTCATACAAGGACATCTGTCCAACCATGTTCATAGCAGCATTATTTGTAATAGCCAGAACCTGGAAGCAACCTAGATGCCCCTCAACTGAAGAATGGCTAGAGAATATGTGGTACATTTACCCAATGGAGTACCACTCAAATGTTTTTTTTTTTTTTTTTAAAAATGACATAATGAAATTTGCAGGCAAATGGATGAAAACTAGAAGAAACCATCCTGAGTGAGGTAACCCAGTCACAAAAAGACAAAACATGGTATGTGCTCACTCATATATGAATTTTAGACACATAGCAAAGAGAAGCTAGAAACAAGAAGGACCCTAAGAGAGACAACCATGCCCCCCCCCTGAAAAAGGGGAAAGGGACAAGATCTCCTGAGCAAATTGGGAGACGGGCGAAGGGAAGAGGGAGTTAGAAAAAAAAAAGAGAGGGGGAGAAGAGGAGGGGAGAGGAGGACATGAGGGAGCAGGAAGATCGAGTCAGGGAAAGAACAGAGGAGAGCAAGAAAAGAGACACCATAAAAAAGGGTTTATATAGGTTATATAGGTTTAAAGAGAAACCTGGCACTAGGGAAATGTCCAGAGATCTACAAGGGTGACCCCAACTAACAATCTAAGCAATAGTGGAGAGGCTACCTTAAATGTCCTTCCCCAATAATGAGACTGATGACTACCTTATCTGCCATCCTAGAGCCCTCATCCAGTAGCTGATGGAAGCAGAAGCAGACACTCACAGCTGAATACAGAGCCGAACTCCTGGAATCCATTGCAGAGAGGGAGGAGTGATGAGCAATGGGGCAAGACCAGGCTGCAGAAACCCACAGAATCTGCTGACCTGAACAAGGGGAAGCTCATGGACTCCAGTCTGATAGCTGGGAATCCAGCATAGGACTGACCCAGACCCCCTGAATGTGGTGTCAGTTAGGAGGACTGGGCAGTCTATGGTGCCTCTGGTAGTGGATCAGTATTTACCCCTAGTATACGAATGGACTTTGGGAGCCCATTCCACATAGAGGGATACTCTCTCAGCCTAGACACATGGGGGAGGGCCTGGACCCTGCTCCAAATGATAAGGCAGACTTTGAAGACTCCCCATGGAAGGCCTCACCCTCCCTGCGGAGCAGAAAGGGGATGGGATGAGAGTGGGGGTGGGGAGGAGACAGGGGAGGAGGGGAGGGTGAGGAAACTGGGACTGACATGTAAAACAAGCTTGTTTCCTATTTAAATAAATTAATTAATTAAAAAATCAATGGTTAAAAACCATGACATCAGGAAATCTGCTGGCAAATGGCTAGAACTAGAAAAGATCACCTTAAGTGAGGTAACCCAGACCCAGAAAGACAAACATGGTGTGGATTTACTCACAATTGACTATTAGCGATAAAGTAAATATAACCATTCTACAATGCACAGACCCAGAGAAGCTAACAAGGAGGGCTCAGGGTTGGGGATGCATGAATCTCCCTGTGGACGGGTTGGGGGGGAGGGCTGGAAAGGAGTGGTGATGGCAACACAAGGGATCAGGTAGGAGGAGGATGGAGGGAGAGAGTACTGGGAGAGGCAACTGGAATCTGGGGGCTTCTCTGGGATGAGCTAGAAACCCAGAGCAATGGAAACTCTCAGCAATCTAAGAGGATAGCCCTGGCTAAGAAATGGGGAATACAGAGCCTGAACCACCCTCCTCCTGTAACCAGGCAAGATTTCCAGGGTGGAGACTGGGACACCATCTCAGCCATAAACCCTTCAACCTGCAATCTGTCCTGCCTACAAGACGTATCAGGGTAAAGATGGCACAGAACTGTGAGAGTGATCAACTAATGACTAGCACAGCTAGAGACCCATACTCTGAGAAGGAGCTCACCCCTGAGGGCCAGGACACAGAGGCTGGACACCCCAGAGGCCTAGGAGATAGAAGCAAACACAAATGTCAACAAAAATTCAATGAAACGATTCCTAAAGACATTCTGCTCTACTCAAAGCCCAATTGTCACCAGAGAGGCTTCATCCAGGACCTGATAGAAACAGATGCAGAGACCCACAGCCAAACATAAGGCAGACTTTGGGGAATCCTGCAGAAGAGGGGGAGAAAGGATTGTAGGAGCCAGAGGGGTCAAGGACACAAGAAAATTCACAAACTCATAGGGGCTCGCAGAGCCTGAATCGACAGTCAGGGAACCTGCATGGGTCTGACCTCTGTGTTTGACAGTTGTTTGGTCTTCCCATGAGACTCCTAACAGTGGGAGCAGGGCTGCCTGACTGTGTTCCCTGCTTTGGGGACCCTTTCCTCCTACTCGGTTGCCTCACCCAGCCTTATTAGGAAAAGAGGTGCCTAGATTTACTGCAACTTGACATACCACGGCTGGCTGTGGGAGGCCCACCTGCATCTGAAGGGGAACAGTGGGAGAAGAGTTGATGTGGTGGAGGATGGGGGAGGAGGGCCTGGGAGGAGGGGAGGGAGGGAAAACTGATTATGTAAAAAAGTGGATAGGGTGGCAAATTTTATGGCATATTTTACTCATTTTTAAATGTAGGAAAGGTGGCAGCTGTAAATATTAATCAATACCTGCTGCCTACTGTGAAAAACCATGCTAAAGCTTGAGTGTGGCTTGGTTCTATAGCAGTTGCTTAGATTGTACAATGCCCTTGCTTTTTGATCTGTTATCTAATCTGTGACAACACACATCTGTAAAGGTAAGAATATATTGAGCTTGAGGCCAGCCTGAGCAACATAATAAAGTCTTGTCTCCCAAAAATGCTGATATTACACTACACCACAATTAAGACAAAGACTATGTGGTAGATTCCACTTAATGAAAAGACACAATATCATATGGATTTGTACACAAAAAATGAGTAAAAATACACACAGATGTTCACATAGCTATATTCTGAAAAGTTGATATGATTTTTAGTGTTGCCACAATGACAAAAATCCAAAATTCACTCAGGAGATGGACTTCTGGGCATGTCCACAAGGGATTATCCTCATTCCATTAACTAATGTGGGTAAGAAGCATCTTAACTATAACCCTAACCCTAAACCTAACCCTAACCCTAACATTCCCTGTCTGAGGATCCTGGACTGTACAAAGTGAGTGGAGCATTAGCACACACATATTCATTACTCTCTTCTGACTATCAGTGGAATGTGACCAGGCGGTCCAAGATCCTGATACCTTTGATTGCAACCTCATGATAGACTGTGAGCTATGACAAGCCTTCCTCCCTTTGGTTATGTATTTATCACAACTATATGGGTTTCAACCAGAAGGACTGAGCAGTCTAAGGGACCTCAGACAGTGGAACCAGGATGTATCCCTGGTCACAAAAGAACTTGGGGACACATCCCCCAGGGAGGGATACTTAACCTAAAGACAGGAGAGAAGCCCTAGTCCCTACTTCACATGACCTGTCAGACCTACATGACCCCAACTGGATGGCATTCCCCTACATGTGGAATTGGGGTGGGGGGATGGGAGGGGAGGGTGGTCAGGGTGCATGTGAGGGGGCAGAGAGGGTAAAAGGGAGAGGGAACTGGGATCGACATGTAAAATAATAAAATAAATTAAAAAAGAAAAAAATAAACTACCAGAGATGGAGAAACAGCTCATCAGTTAAAAGCAATGACTGCTCTTCTAGAGGACCTGGTTCAATTCCCAGCACCCACATTGCAACTAATAACAGTCTGTAACTGCAGTTTCTGGGGATCCAACCCTTTGTTCTGGCCTCTGACAGCATCAGGCACACACATGGGGTACAGAGACACATGCAGGCAAAATACTCATACACGTAAAATAAAAATAAAAATAAATTTCAAAAAAGTAACTAAGAAGGTGGGCTTTCTAGCTTCATCTTTTTTTTTTTTTTTTTACTGTTTTAACATTTTACACAATGAACATACATTAATCTTACAAGTAGGTGGAAAGACAATAACACTAAGAATCCCAAAAAATTCAAATGAAAACAAGTATTTATTCAATTCCCAGATGTAGTCATTCTATGGTTAATACAAATATGCAGGAATAACTATCACACCAGAAAAGAGCATTTATTTCATTACATTAAAAGGTAAGACCCATAATATCACCACACAAAGTCAGACAACTAGAAATGCAAATACCCAAGTATCACACAGAGAGAATAATGGCTCATGTCATTAATACACAAGAATCAAAAGTCAAAGCAGGATACAACTTTTACCTATTATTGTAGGAGTATAGGTTTTCTTTTTTGGTGTTATGGGTCTTATTGATAGGCTTGTTGACTTCCTTTTCTAACTTTAGTATGCTATAGTAGCAACAGAGTGAGGAGAAAATGGAACTGTTTTTCATGACTCGGCACTGAGAGACTATCCTATGAGAATACTTTGAAATAATGAAAACATTTTACTCACAAAGTTGACCATAGCATTACTTGTAATACTAAAATTTTGGAAATAACCTAAATTTCCAACAACTGAAAGGAAGAAAATTTTAATAAAACTATGCAATCACATATATTACCAGCAATATAAAATATCTGCAAATGTCACTAATAACCATACATAGTATTTAAAGAGAAAATAAGAACAGAAATTGTATTATAAAGAACATAAGGAATCAAGAAATGTAAAACATTCATACCACCCAAAGGACAAGATATTAAGTGTAACAATCTCAGGATAAAGCAATCAGACATTTTTTTTCACCTATTACTGCATTTCTGATTTCCAGCTTTTCTATAATTAACACATCAAAATTCATACTATGAAAAAAATACCTTTTTAAAAGTGAAGTAAATAGCAGTTTTAAGATGTGTTCACTTTCCCCAACAACACAGTCAAGAGAGTCCTGAAAGCCTCAGCCTCTCACGGGGGGGGGGGGGGTCAGGGGAGCCAGGCTATGAAGAATGGCCATGAAAGGGTTGGAGCAAAGAAGAGAGGGCACAAGCTAGAAGGGCCAGGGAGGCAGGGATTGGCAAGGGAAAGTCAGCCAAGGGAAGGGGCATTGTGGAGCCAGGGAAGACTCTGACTGCTCAGCGGAGGTCTTTAAGACCCTTAGTAGGCACTGACGGTGTTCTCAAAGGGCAGGGTCAAGAGGGATTTTTAGGAAGACACATGGATTCCTTAAGGAACAGGGGAGGGAAAGGGGAGGGAGGTAAACTATTTAGGAAGGAGAGGGAGAAGGGCAGAGGCAATGGCAATGAGAATGAAAGGAAGAGGCTGATGGCCACAGCAAACTCTCTACTCTATGCTTAAACCACATACAGTTTGCTCATTACAGGAACACACCAATCAAGGTTAACACATCCAGCTCAAATCCAGGGCATCTCTGTTGAGTAGAACTGTCTGCTATGGTGGAAAGGCTCTAAGTCTAGCTACTGAGCACTTGAATTGTTTAAAATTTTATTTCATGTCAATAAAATAAATTTAAATAGTCACATATGTCATGTGACTACTAAGTGGAGAGCACCAATGGGCTTATGACTTCATCAGAAGCAGAATTTGGAGGGGGTTGACACTAAAACTGCTTCAGGAGATAAAATTGAAAAAAAAAGTAAATGTATATACTATGGTCAAATAGGAACAATAAATGGATGGATGCAAAATAAAAACCTGTGTCAAAATCTGTCCCTATAACTATGGAGGAGGAGATGAAGCTAAGCAAAATAAAGACATGCTGTTTAAGAACTTCTAAACAGCTGGGCAATGGCTGCACACACCTTTAATCCCAGCATTCAGGAGGCAGAGGCAGGTGGATCTCTGTGAGTTCGAGGCCACCCTGGTCTACAGAGTGAGTTCCAGGACAGGCTCCAAAGCTAAACAGAGAAACCCTGCCTTAAAAAGACAACCAAACAAACAAATTCTAAACTAAATTGTAAAAATGGCACTGAGTGAATACAATGAGACAAATAATATAAAGAACAAGAGAAGACTGAATCAAATCATCTACAAAAGACAGTTTCTAGACAAGGGGCAAATTTGGGGATCAGGAGAGATGAATGGGACCATCAATCTCCAAATAGAAATTGGTCAGGAAAATCATTGTACTATGAGCTACCTGTCTATAGTAGGCCAATTAGTAAAAACAATCTGTCTTTGAGATTTTACAAACTTAAAAATAATATCTTGGCTTTTGGGATTCAATTTAATACGTGAGAGTAATTTAATTATCTATTTGCTATATTCTGTTTCAAAAACATTTATCTTGAAACACTGAGGCATTTTAAGGAGAAGATTATTGAAATTACTCATTTAATACAATACTAAATACATTGTATGTTGGAAAGCTGTTAACTACTGATAACAAGAGTTTTCAGCACATTACAGAATTGACTTTTCTTTAACAATAGTAATGAAATAACCTTATCCCTACCTGTTACATAACCTTCCTGTTACTTTCATATTTAGGGAATATGCAAGAAACACAGAACTACATTCTAAAAATTACTTATACCCTATTAATGAAAAGTTTCCAAGCCACAAGATAATTTACGTTTCATAAATCCACGTTTTCTCTACTAAAAGGTAAAAGAATAGCTCCTGCCTCCAGCATAAATGGGTATCAGAAATTCTCTAAATAGGAATATGAATATGATTCTGAAGGATTCAAATCATGGGTATACTTACATTTTAAATGGCTTTCATTCTGAATAACTGACATTTTAACAGATAGCCACTGAGTTCAAGAGTTCTACCATTAACTAATAAATTATTTTTTGGGCCAGCAAGTATTGAAATAGTTAACTGAATTTCTTACCTATACTTTATTTATTATTTAATGAAGAAATGTTGCATTAATAATCCCATGTGTATTTTACCTTTGATTTTGAAATCTGAACTCTTAGAAACAAAAGTTGAACATAGACCATATAGAAGTTGTTCCTAGAATGATTACTTAATTTCACATTTGAAAAAGAAATGAACTCCATGTTAACATGTTTTGACTACATTGGGTTACCTAAGATATATGGTTACTTTTTGAAATGCACTAAATTCAACAAGTAAATTATTTCATGAATACAGTATTATTTTGGGCTAGTATGGATTTTATATACAAAGGTATGATTACATTTTGGTAAGATCACTTTGTAGTTATTTAAACTAAGCTATGAGTGCTTTTAAAATGGAAGAGTTTCAGCCTAGCCTAAATCCAATGACCAGTTATAACTTAAGAGCTAAATGAAAAGATTTGTGTGCCACATACTCCTAGGTCAAATTGATGATTAATGTTTTGATTGCTTCCCACTCGGATTATGTCTATTACAATGGGTAGTAAAAGACAGCCATTTCTAATGCCACCTTTCAAGAGCCAGAAGGGGGCAAGGGGACACATATATGTCCTGTTAGACTGGCAGAAGTCATGGCTTCAATGAGTGGGGAAATCCTCCATGTTGGGAGTCATTATATACATTGTGATCCTGCAGTGGGTCAGAATCTACAAAATAGAGTTCCCCTGCATGGATGTCAGAAAAATTAGCCAGAAATTCATCAGGATTAAAGCCAACCCACACAGTATACCTATAGTCTATGGTACGTATAGAGTAGCCCATGATCTTTATATCTTTTAAGCTTGGCTTGTCAGAATTCCACTGAGGGGAATCTGCAGGCCGGGGGTACTGACTGTAGGCAATCAACTCCCGGGGATTACCAAGGAAGTGCGACTCCTCTTCAAAGTCATGGAGCTGCAAATACTTCTGAAGACTCTGGCCTTCTCTGCACAGCTCAACATGAAAAGAAGGGATGGGGCATCGAGGAGGAACTTGCAGTCCTGAAAGTCCAGCAAGCGTGGGAAAGAGAGATACAAGTTCCACGAGGTCCGTGTCGTGCCTACCTGAAACAGGAAGCAGCACAGCTGGATCTAGTACACTTGGGAGCCAGCCAGACCAGAAGCCTGTCTGAGCACCACCTGTTCCCCATTTCATTTTCCCATACCACATCCAATTTTTAGCAAAAGAGACTTAGAAATTCGACCTCTCCAGGACGCCTCTCTTCACTAATGGTGCATCCGATGTGAGTAACGGGATGTAAAGTTAAGGTGTTACTAGCCTGTGGGCATCATTTTTTATCTACTCAAGTTTTGGAGCCAAATAATTGATCCTGACAAGTCTAATCAATGAAAGGTCTACACATGGTGTAAAAGTTGGTTGAAGATACTCATTTCGAAATATTTGCATTTGATCCATATTTTCTTTTTACTAAGGTAAAATACACGAAACATGAAATTCATGACCTTAACTACTTTTAAGTGATAATACATGTATTCACATTGTGCCAGCAACACCATCACTTCTACAATTCATTTTATATCTCCCCACCATCCCCACCATCTCAGCACTTAACCCTTCACTAAAACCAAACAATAGCTGTCCATTTTACCACCATCAATTGATAACACCCATTCTACTTCCTAGCACTATAATTCTGACTACTAGACTACTAGAAATATCTCGTGTGAATCATCTCAGACCACATTTGATCCTTTGGGCCTGGCTTATTTCATTTAACATAATGAGTCCTCAAGGTTCATCCATTCTATAGGATACACTGGCATTTCCTTTCTTTTAAAGGATGAATAATGTTCTACTGTATGTATACATCACAATGCATATATAGCCAACAATAGATTGAGAGCAGAAAGCAGCTGCTGGAGAAGGAAACTGACCAGCCCAGCTGTTCATGGGCCATCTCTTAGAACTGTCAAGCTCCCTGCAACTTATGTCAAGAACTCTAGGGACACAGCTTTTATGAGTCATCAACCATGTTGATGTGGGCTTTTCAGAAATACAGGTGCTACTGAGTCATCAATGCTCCTGTGAGTATCCCCTCACCCACACTCCTACTAGTAACCCCAATAAAGCTCACTGATTCACCAAGTTAGGCTTTGATGTAATTGTTATTTTGGTCTGTCATGGGACATGTATGCTACATCTCCCTAGAAAAAGCCTCTCATAAAAAAAAAAACACCACAATTATGAAAATAAAAACCAGCATAAACACATGTGTGCATCACTGATAAAAAGTATTTACCCTCAATCTAGTCAGGGGAATTGGGATACTGCAGAGAAAGAATGGTCTGAATACTTGTGAGGAGGAATTCCAAGAGAGGAGGAGGGAATCAGGTCATGTAAGGTCTTGATAGCCACTGTAAAGACACTTGCTGAGTGAGAAGTTCCTGAGTAGGGCTGTATTTTGGAGGGTCTGTTTTTTGGTTTAAACTTTCATCTTTGCAGTACTAGGGATAGAAGTCAGATTTTCAGTCTATCCTAGACATGAACTCCACCACCAAGCGATAGCCCTACCTCTGCTCTGAGTTTAAAAACGGTCACTTGTAATACTGTGAGAAGGAAACACTCTAGAAAACCAAGGGCACAAGTAAGGAAACTTCAGAAAGTTGCTACAACAAAAGGCTGGTGGCAGTGGAATTAATGAGACTGGACAGAGACGGATTCTGATTAGAAAGGAGCAAGCTTGCTGATGGACTGCACAGAATATTGAATAAAGAAAAAAACAGGTTGAAAAGACTCAGAACTTGCATTTTTCATTACCAGGGACTAAACCCAGGGACTTATGCTTGCGAGGCAAACACTCTACCATGGAGCTAGATCCTGAGCCTGAGTTTTATTTTTTGAGATGAATTCTCAGTTACAGAAGCTGGCCTTGAAATCACTCTGTATCTCAGAAAGGTTTTGAACATGTGATCTTCATGTCTCAGCCTCTGAGTAACCTTGATTACAAGTCTCTGTTCACAGGACTTTTTATTTGTTTGTTTTGTTGGTTGGTTGGTTGGTTGGTTGGTTGGTTGGTTGGTTGGTTGGTTGTTTCGCTGCCTGGTTGTGGCTTTTTTGTGGTGAGGGGTGTTAAGGTGTTTTTTGGTTTGGGAGCCTAAATGACAATGCCATTTCTAAGGATAAGAGTGTCAAAGGCAAGAATGTAGTTAAATCAGTGTAAGTTCAACTGCAGGCATGTTAGACTGACTAGACAAATGAAACAAATGATTTGAAATACAAGTTCAAATTCACATAAAAGATGAAGACTAGAGATTACAGTTGGAAAAACTGGATGACACTACAATACAGGGATTTCTAATTTGCTGATTATCTTCCAAAAAGTTTCAAAAAGGACTCATCGACCAGATTTTACAAGCAATAAAGAATTAAACTCATGCCTTGAAGCTCTTTAAGCTTTCTCTTGGTGTTAGGAAAGAAATAGAGCATGAAACATAAGAAATTAAATGTGTAAAAAGAAAAAAAAAGAGAAAAAAAAAACAAAAAAATGTGTAAAAAGAAAATTGGATGACATAAGCAAACTCGAAAGGCCAGAATGATGATCTAAAATGATCTAAAACACAGAAATGGACATAAAGTGCAAAGCCTTGGTGTTAAAGATGGAGTCAGTGGTCAATCAGTCTAGAAGAGGGGCAGCCTGATTTAGCACAGCTCACAGAAACACAGCTCCGAATAAGAAATGGCATTGCAAGTATGTAACTGGTGTCTGAAAGTGCACTAGACAAACAAAGTCAGGGTACAACTTTCAAGAACCTACAGCTGCCACTTCATCTGGGCAGGAGGAGTGCCTCTTTGAAGGAATAGCACGAAGAAATCAAAGTAAATCCCCTGTGCTGCTGGGGAGAACAGAGCAGATTAAGCTCCTGTGTTTCAATAGGTCAATGTGCTCCAAAGTGGAAAATAGCTCAGTAAGCACTGGGGCCCCCAAACAAGTGTGCATATGAAACATTCCACTCATATGTTGGAGACACTTTTTCTCAGCAATCTACAACCTCCTCTAAGGACTGACATGTTTTTGTCACCTCCAAATAGCCATCCCCACCTTGGGAATGTCTCTTGCTCCTCTAGCCCTCTAGACTTCCCAAGGGCCCCAATATACAGTGGCCATTCTTGTCAATTCTGTCCCTGCTATGCATTCCCAACCTAGTACATGGGAGATGCTAGAAAATAAAAGAATTCCAAGACACCACAAAGAGGGACAGTTTGTTGTCTGATAAAGTAATTCACATATAAACAAAAGGTATTTTCCCGGATAGGCATTGTCACTTCTGTGTGTTTATACCTGAATCCATCAATTCTGAAGTGGGATTAAAGGGGTCCTGGTAAGGGAAAAGCTTCTCGCCTGCTCCAGGAAGTGGGGCTGTTTTTCCAGGAACATAGAACATCAGCGGCACACGGGTAGTGACATCAAAATTGCTATATTTAGCCCATTCTCCGTGTTCACCTAGGGCCCACCCTGCACCATAAAAAAAAAAAGCACACAATGGAAGAAAATAAGTAATAATATTAGTTTGTTTACTTTAGATACCATTTCATTTCTCAATGTAAAGTGCAGAGGGCACCAAAGGTCATAACTTAAGGAAATGCCTCTAGAACTATAAAAAGCAATCCACATAAATGCTGCTTTGTTAAAAGGCAGATATCAGTCCGCAAAGAAGAAACCGTAAAAAGAGATAACCTTAAATTCTCAGTATTAAATTCTACAGTATCTTCTTTTTTAAAGTAACTAGAAATACACACACATTAAATTTTAGCTGTTTGGGAGGCTCCAAATAAACATGCCTCTCCTGCCAAGACAGGAGTCTGCCCATACTTTAGTACCTACTAAGTGCATTCAGCTGCACTGAGCAGCTCTTCCTGGATGATAGGAACCTAAAAGTTAGCCATTTCAATACCATGCCCTGTGTCTTATCTCTTGACCATGACACTGGCTTCAAGTTGAACCGTAAGACTAATGAGCCACAGAATTATGCACAAGATAAGAATATCTTAGTATTTTAAAAGGCCTATCATATACATTCATACATGAAGGAAAAAAATAATTCAAATTTTCAGCCCTGAGTAAGAAAAAGAAATCATTGGCAGTCATTAAAATGTCTACTCCAAAAGATGAAGTGAATACTGCAGGCTGGGAATACCCAACCTGCTTACACATGAGCACATTTTAGAGACAAAAGCGTGTGACAATGACTATATGTGGAGAATGTAACTACTGTAAAAATAACTGCAGATACCAAAAGCTTGCGGGAACTAAGGGAAGTGCTAGCATACACCTATCCTTTATTTATCATAGCCACATTTGCTGACTTTTGTGAGAGAGGTTGCACAGACTAGCCTGCAACTTCCCTTATTCGATCTCCAGACAATGATGGAGCTACAAACAAGTGTCACAACCATAGTTAAGAAACTATGGTCAAGAGGCTGGAGGTTTAGTTCAGTAGGTAAGAGTACTTGTCACTGCTCTTCCAGAGGACTGATATTCAGTTCCCAGTACCTATGTCAGGTGAATCACAACTGCCTATACTTCCAGCTGGTCTCCAAGGACACCTGCACACACATAGTAGACACTTATGCAGACATATACACATAAATAAAATAAATTGGGGCTGGAGAGATGGCTCAGCAGTTAAGAGCACGAGCTGCTCTTCCTGGCCTGGGTTTGACTCTGCCCAGTACCCACACAGAAGATCACAAGCAACTGTCTATAACCCCAGTCTCTGACCATCTGACTCTTTCTTTTGGCCTCCTTAGGCACTACACACATGTGATATTCAGACATACATGCAGGTTCAATACCCATATACATTTAAAAACGTAAATAAAGATAATCAAATCAATCTTGAGAGAGAGAGATAAACAGAAAGAGAGATGATGGTCTTAGGACCTCAAACTGTTCTCCTTAGAAGCCTCCTACTTAGAAGAATTCGGAATAACCAGTGGTTAAGACAGCAGAGCACTGTGGATGTTCATGGGCTCTGGCAATCTGTCCATCCCTGTCTGTAATGCTGGAGACTTAAGAGAAGAGTGTTCAAAGAGTCTACAGGAGCTCAGCAAGAAGAGTCCAGACCATCACCTCTATGACTGGGTGAGGGGAAACCCTGAACCTCCATTCCTCTGCATTCTCCAGGACAAAGCAGCCTTGACCCAGTAGGTTTGTAGAGCATTAGCACAGAGGTCATGTTCCCTCGTAACATGAAGCTAAAAGGTTGAGAGTTAAGAAGCCTAGGGGACACAAAAGTGAGGGGCCTCAGCAGTGGGACCTCGAGAGTCAGCTCTGGGAAGTTTGACTGATGTGCATGCACAGACCTGGAAGGGACATAAAGTAAGCTCTACTGTGGCATTCCCAAATGTGGCCATTCTAACCCACAGGCCTTCACCAGTTCTAGTGGGCTACTCTGGCATCACTCAGAACACAGCAGTTATCTTAACACTCAAAATTCGGTACATAGCTGTTGTGATTAGTTCATGGCTAAATAAATATAGTCTTTCATCATTCTAAGCTAAGCTTCAGTCTCGGCTGCTATAACCAGGAACAAATATGTGAACAAACATTTAGGGACCAACAGACATTATTCAGAGTGAGAGACTGCCAAACATCCCTAAATGGGATGGGTCCATCAAATCCCTCTCCTCACAACTCAGGGAACCCTTCAGAAGAGGAGGCAGAAAAGAACCAGAGGGGATGGAGGGTACCAAAAAAAAAAAAAAAAAAAAAAAACCCTCTAAATCAACATAATGAAAGCTCATATGAACTCAGAGGCCTGAGGCAGGACACAGGGCTTAGACAGGTCTGCACCAGGTCCTTGAAATATATAATGGCCTCCAACTTAGTGTTTTTATGGGACTCCTGAGTGCGCAAACAAGTGGGTCTGTTTCTTGTGCCTTTTTTTCTTAGGCTCTTTTCCTTCTGTTTGTCTTGTCCAACTCCAATGTGTTAGTTTTTATTTTATCTTATTTTATTATTACGCCTTAGAAGCTATTTGTTTTCTAATGAAAATAGTGAGTAGATCCAGATGGGAGGGGAGGTGGGGAGGAACTGAGAGCAGAGGGAAGGGAAACGTTAATCGGGACATCTTGTGTGAGAAAAAAGAATCTTCAATAAAGGAAAAAAAATGAAAGATAAAAAAAGATGTGAGGAAAAAGCACATATCCCTGAGAGGCTCAAGGGTATGTTTTTAGATAAGGAGGAAGCAGTGAACCTCCAAGTAAAGGTCCTCTGGCTCTCTAGGTTAGAAATGGGAGCTAAAGGGTTTCCTTTCAGAAAGAGATGCTAAAGAAGGGAGAGAAAAGGAAGGCAGTTGGGGATATCGGTGGGATATAAGTGACACAAACGCAGGAGGAAGAACACTGCTGAATGGAAGGCAACCAGCTGGAGGAGGGGCAGAGGCTACAGGAGAGGCCAACAGAGAGGAGGACTAATTTTAGTAGAGTATAATGACATACGTTTGACAACGATATAATGAAGCCCACAACTATGTGTGCTAACTTGTTAAAACTGTTACAGGTCTGGAGAGAGAGCTCAACAGTTCACAGCACTCCCTGCTCTTCCAGAGGACCCAAGTGGAATCCCTAGCACCCATGTCATGCAGTTCACAAATGTCCATGACTGCAGAAGCAAAGGATCTAAAGCCCTCTTCTGCCATCTGCAGGCACTATCCTCATGCACACACATGCACACGCACACATACACACACTTGCACACACACACGGACACACACACATGCACACATACACACACATACACACATACACACACATACACACGCACGTACACATGCACACATACACACATGCACACATACACACATGCACACACACATGTGCACACATGCACACGTACATACATACACACGCACACACGCATATGCACACATGCACACGTATACACATACACACACAATTTTAAAAAACATTAAGAGGCACAAAAGCAAACCCTCACTCATATAAATGCACGGTCACTGATGAAATCGCTAAGACAAAATATTTGCACCTACTTCCATTCTCAAATATCCAAGACGGAGGGCCAAGAACAACTAAATTGCTCTTAAAAGCTCCCCATGACCCTGGACTCAGAACACTGCTTTTACACAAGTGTACCCCTATATATGTAGAAAATTGCAAAGTGTGCTTCAGAGGAAATTGAGATGTTCAATTCTCTAGTGCACTGGAAAATGCTTACCATGATCAGATGTGAAAGCAATAATTGTGTTGTTGGCTAGATGAAGATCATCTAAAGCACTCAAAAGATGCCCAACTTCGGTATCCAAATAGGACACAGAAGCAAAGTAGCTCTGGCGAATTTTCCGCTGCAAATGAAAAACAAAATTACAAGAATGAGAGCAATTTTAATTGCCTTGGCATACAAAGAGAACAGCTACCTGAACATCTATCCCAATCCCAACCTCTCCATTGATTAATGATGTTCTTAGCCTAAACTTAACATTCCTTTTCCTACTTTCTGTAGCCCTCCCCCCCCCTTGCCTACAGAGGCCAGCCTAACAATCTGCAAATTGACATGTTTGAAAGCAAATCAGCCTTTCCTTTAATACACATGTCACGACAAATGGTTGTCATTAACTGTGCCTTTCTGTCTATTCTGCATATTCTGGATAGTCTCTAGAAATGAACATCTACACAGAAAATAATCCCTTAATCTTTGCATTCAGAAACACACATTATCTGATGAGGAATATGCCAAACATCACTCAGCTCCATTCAAGTCACCAGGTGACTTCAAACACTATGGACAATGGAAGTCCTAAATCAAGGTTTGGGGAGTGTCATTTCTGAATGTTCTACAGCAGTGATTTCCAACCTCCCTAATGCTGCAACCCTTTAATACACTTCCTCGGGTTGTGGTGACTCCCCAGCCATAAAATTATTTCATTGCTACTTCATAACTGTAATTTTGCTACTGTTATGAATCACAGTGTAAATATCTGTTTGCCAATGGTCTTAGGCAACCCCTGTAAGAGTCATTCAACCCCCAAAGGGGTCAAGACTCACAAGTTGAGAACTCCTCTTCTAAAGCTATCTGCATTTCTTGGCTTGTAACAGTCTTGCAATCTGTCTCCATCTTCACATGCAGCTCTTACTGCATCTGCTTCTGTCACTGCTTTCCCTACCTGACCTCCTTATCAAGACCACAGTCATGTTATTTTGGGTTGGGGCTTACCCGAATAGTATGAGTACATCTTAACTTAAAGCAGGCTACATTCCGAGGCACGAAAAGTTAAAGAGTTCATTGTATCTTTTGGGGGAACAGCACGAATTAACTCCTAATAATGACCTGAGTAGGGCTCTCCTCTAACCATTTTCTTACCCAGCAAAAAATAGCAACTGAGTAACTTCATGGATCAAGGTGTCAAGTGTGTAGCTCATTTCTAACAAACTCTAATGAGCAGAAGGATAATGAAGGGCAACCCAAGAGGAACTGCTGGGACTGCTAGTCTATACCTACAAGTACAGGAGCCATAAGTCTTTCCTGGACTAAGTCCTCAGTTATTGTTCACAAGCCTTAAAGGAAATCTTTTTCTCCCTCCCGAGCAGGAAGAAACAAGAGAACCACTTACCAGATCAGCCCCATCTGCTACCATCCTCAGGGCCCCTGTCTCATGAGATGGACCTATGGCATGCTACTTGTCATTGCTAGGGCAATCATGAAACTTCCCCTTCATCTACTTGCAGTGACAAACACCTATGCTTACAGAAGGATTATGTTGAACTTCTGCCTACATATACTTTTTAGTAAGTAAACTTTTCAGTCTGGAGCCTGGAAAACTCCAGTTCTCCTAGGGATCATGATACCTCCTGCCTATGCCAGTCATGGAAAGAAGGCAATAAAGAAGCAGGTATGATGCTCAGGCCTATTAAGCCAGGGACAACTACAGATAAGCAAATATACACAATATCAGAGGGGCCAGGTTTGAGACATGCAAATATACCTTCAAGTTAGTTAGTTTGTCTGGATAAATCAGGGAAGGCTTCACAGAGGAGTTTCCATTGCTATCACCAAATATGTGCAAAATGCTCTAAACCAACAGCTCTTATACACACAACAGAATGGAATCATGGTATAGCAGGGCACATTTGGAGCCATGTAACAACATAGGAAGGCAGACAAAAACAGTAGTATGTTAGGGCCAGATGACATAGACTTGGAAGTTCTTCAAGGGAGTGAAAGTCTCAGTCTGTAGGTCAAGAAAGTCAAACCACAGAGCTAATGCAACATACGCTGCAGGTTAGCAAAAGTCATGTGACAACAGCAGCACAAATCGTAGGAGCTTTAGACAAAAAAGCACTAGGTCATTGCTGGCCCCTCAGAAGAATTCAGCAGCTTGCTAAAAGAAAATCAGAAAGGTATGATGTGTGTACCTGTAATCCTGGCACATGAAAAGCTGAGGCAGAAGGATTACCATGCATTTTTGTTCAGCTGGGACTAGAGTGAGAACTTGTCTCAAAAAATGGAGAAAAATTGAAAAAGCAAAATGTACTACAGTGGTCCAGAAAGATGTGTTCACATCAGAGAACCAGACAGACCTAAGAGGAATTTGGGGAGGTCAAGCAGGTGTGGAGACAGGTAAGAAACATGGTATCAGATGAAAATGAAAAAGCCAAGGGTAACTCACATTCAACAACAGAGTGATTGGCTGCCATTTCACGAGAGGGACATAGTGGGAGAGGAAGAAGAAAAGGCAGAGTAGGGGTGATAGCCTAGCCATGTGGAACACAGCAGAACCAGGGGCAACACGATCATCTGCCTGGGAGTACCTCACAGGAAGGTAGACATGTGTGTCAGAAACTCAGGAGGGATGGAGTAGTCCTTGGATTAATCTAACAACAGGGCTCAGATGAAGCTAACTATGGAGACTTGGAAGAGAAGAAAAGATGGAGGACTGAAGGAGATCAAGGAGCAGTACCTAAGTGGGAGACTATGCACACTGAAATAGAAAGGGGGCAGGGAGGGGCAGAAAGATTGGCAAGGAAGTCCAGGAGTAAGATAGCTCCAGAATGGTGATCAATGAGAAATTAGCACTGAGCTCAAGGAAGTTCAGTGAAGACATTGATGGCAGATTTTGCCAACAAGGTCAATGTCCGCCACAGTAAGAACCCTTGGTGATCCAGAAGCTCAGAAATCCATACACACAAAGATGAAGAACAAATGGACCAGTAACACCATGGATGCAGCCAGAATAGGCTCTTCAACACCCTCAAACAGTAGTTGAGGGAGCAGAGCAGCATACAAAAATATAACAGGACAGAGGTGAAAGAAATGGTACCTCTAAAGATGGTGAGCAAAGAGGCTGCAGAGAACATCAGCAGGACCAGACCTCACCAAACAAGCTGAGAACCTCTGCTTAGTAGCAGTAGAGGTTCTCTCCAGCAGCTCTCACAGCTGGACTGTCTCATTATTAGGGTACTGTTAAGGGGACAAGTGAGATGAAGAGAATGCAAGAATAAGGAGAGCTGTACCATGATCCTTCCTCCCCGAGAAAGAATAGTATGAGAGGCAACAAGAATGTCAGGCGAGGGAGTTCCAAGAACAAGGGGTCATAACCCAGCTTGTGCATAAGCATGCAGATGTAGGCCTAAGCATAAACTGGGAAGCTGAAGGAAAGAGAGAGGCCAAATTAAGGAAAGACATCCAAAGCTACAATGGGCCGGGGAACATGGCTCAGGTCCATAAAGCATGAGAGGCATAGCCCTTCACATAAAATCACCCACATAACTATTATGAGCTATGCTGCCTGCTGTGTCCAGTGGCCTGGGGTGTAAGGAAAGGGCACAGAACTTCAAGGTGGCACTGACCCTCCCTGTATACTTCTACATATCCTCTACACTCTTCACTGAAAACCTTTACCCATCTTGCCGCTGTGTGATTAATAAGGTAAGGCACGGCGACTTGACAGGGGTCATGCCACCGGCATGGGAAAGTTACTTCAAAACAAAACTTTTCTGAACTGACAAAAGCAACCTTAGGGGTTGAAGTTATGTGTCTGTGGGGCTAAAGCAGCTCCAATTGGCACCAGGTCTGTGCCTCACCATGTCACACAGCAGTTTCCTGTTTGGCAACAGTGAGGTTCTCATCCAGCCCAAATACTAAACACTTACAAACCGTTCTGGCACCCTGTCCATCCTAGAGGGACATTTCAAGTGACTGTCACTACTAAAATATTCAGGTACTGATCTAAAGCTGCAAATACAAACCATATTATTATCAGAGTTGACAATGCAGAACTAGGAAGCTAGTTGGCTTTTGAACTCTCTCTACTCACCATTTGAAACTCAGGAATCACACAGTTTTGAGTAATGCACACGTCACCTCTGAACTCTGTGCAAACTCAGGGACCAAATAGCTTTGAACAGCAAAAGATACCTATTTATGTTGGACCTGTTTCATTTTTTTCCAAAAAAAAAAAAAAAAAAAAAAAAAGGCTATTCTCCTACAGAGTACATCACAACCACCTGATGCGCTCTCTGAGGAAATGTAGTTTCTTGGGCCCTATCTTTAGCTCTAGGGCTGGAGTTCAGTAGTATGGTACCTGCCTAGTGCATGTGAGGCCCTAGGTTCAATCACTAGTACTGCAAAAAAGAAAAGCAAAAAAAATAGGGTGAAAGGGAGAGGGAAAAAAAAAGATGTCCATATTCATAGGTGGTCCAAGACTAACTAACAAGTCTGCCCAGTGAATCCGATACAGTCAGTCCAAGGAGCACATTTTGAAAATGCTGTCTATCCACTACCACCTGCTTTAGCATTCATGTTATAAGACTTCAGAAAGAATATGGTTCCACGTGTCTTTTTTACTTACAGGAAAGAGAAGCTGATGGATAAGGGGATGAGTCAAGATAACCAAGTGACTAACTTGGAGGCTTCTTTATCTCTGTACCACAGATACCAGATACCACAGCTCACTAGCATTAGCCAGGATATCCTACCTCCCTATGTACTAAGGCTCAGTTCATTCACTCAAGAGAAGCAGAGGCCAGTTTAGGCCTTCCCACAGAGGAAATAAAAGTACCGGCAAAATAAGAATTCTGGGCTTCTACACAGCTGCTAACATCCTATAATTAATAAACTGTGGTCCATATAAATACCCTATGGGTTGGGGGGGGGGGTTCACCCAAGCCACATCCCAAACCTGTGTCTGCTTTAGAGCAAGTCTGGATGCTACCTTCTTTAGAAGCTAAGGCACTAGTAAGGGGACTTGATCTATACAGCACTGCCAATGTCAGTATCAATAGAAATCCAATGCCCCCAAAAAGTCACAAAGAAGGCTTTTGTCTGTTTTGGCTTTATGAAACAGGAGCTTACTATTTAACCTGGGTGGGGTTTGAACTCATTATGTAAATAGGTTGGTCCTGAATTCAAATGTGGCCTCACCAACGACATCTTACCATCAATGTCTCATGTATCCCCTATGTATCCCCCTGGTACCTGAAAATCCACAGGAATTGGGCCATAGGGCACACTGATGTTTAAGGCTTGGACGTCTTCCCGCTCCCGGATGTCCATCCAGGGGTTGTAGGCCACAGGTGGTAGGCCATCAGGGACCTGGGGATCAGGAGCCAGGGTGATGTTTTCCAAGGGATACAACTTCTGAAATTCCTAGGAGAAAAGCACACAAACCCACAAGGTTGCCACTCACTTGGCAAAAGCACAAGGTTGTGTTTCCTGAAAGCCTATGATACATTTACTTAGTGCTAATGCTTCCCAGCTACTTACCCACCCTCACCGGCTCCCTACTTTAAGCCACTCGCATAACACTCAAACCGCAACAAAATCCTAAAACATGTTTCCTACAAGGACAGCAGCAACTGTTCTCTCCTCTCATAGACATGTGCCCTCCTGCTCCTGTCCCCGCCTTAACCAGAACATACAAAGGCATGGTGAGCCACTGTTGGCTCCCAAAATCTCCCTCGGCTTCTGTGTCAAGAGGAGAACTCACAGGACTTGGCAGAAGGTCCCATTTAAAGTGATCCTTTATTACAATGAAAATATTTCCCATTAAATCAGTAAAGAAAAAAAAAAAAAAAAAAAACAACATGAGGCCAAATCTGGAGGAAACCAAGGAAGAGCTTCAGAGTCTATCCCAGGGAGTTCACATAGGAGGCGCGTATTGCTCCAGCTAGTTAAAAGACGGTGCATTTAAAATGCTACCAATCAGTGAGGCTTATTAAAACTTCAGCACCCGGTTTTGACATGGGTTTCATCACGTAGGCACTCTGCCTGAAGCAGAACAAAACTGCTTAGGCACTCCCAAATCAAAGTCACCAGTTGCCAGACAAGGGCCAGCCTTATAAGCAGACCTCTGAAAGGCTTGCAGCTAGGCAGCTTTGCCAACTCTTCTGCACGGGAGCAGAAGGCCCTCCCTGTCACAGGACTCTTCCAAAGGGGCTGAGAGCTCCTGCTTGGAGGGCAATATCCTCAACACTCATAATACAAGATGCCTACAACACCGAAGAGCATACTTTCAGGTCTGTCCTCTCATTTATAACCAAGGGACATTCTTTGTAACGTGAAAAGGCTGGGCTGCTCAGACCCAGAAAAAAAGAAAACAGAGAAACCCTGGAAATGATTATTAAAAAGGACTACACATTCTAAATGATATAGAGAAGCGTAGGATTTGAAGTACCAACAAGTAATTCTGTCTCCTGTACCTATAGGGTCTAGTATGACAACCTTAGAGAGGAATGACACTTGGGGAAGAAGGCTTTAGGTTTCCAGAGATTTTCTCCCAAAGACAATCCCTTTGGGCTTCTGGTACCTTTGCCTAACCTTTATATAATCCCATCGACATGATGAGTTCAAACAAAAGAAATCAATCTCCAGTGGAGGAAAGTGGAAAGCTAAAGTTTATTACAAGATTCTTACTTGTTGTAAGATTACTTTTTGTCACTGAAGTTTGACTACCATCATTCCAAATATACTAGTACCTACTAGGCATCCTGGTGGGTTATGAGCATCTTTGATACACAATGCCTCTCTGGTGACTAAGTAACACAGATAATAGTGGCTGTGTTGGATAAGTCTTAAGACAGCTTATCACCTTGGGGTATCTGAAGGGGATGTGTGGCTTGTGATACCCAACCGCCAGGAAGAAAGGGCTTGCTGACGTTTTCATCTTTTCCAATAACCGAATGGCTTCCTCAGTGCTCTGTTTGTCAGGCAAGGTGCCCTCAGGCACATCTGCCACATCCACAGGACAAAGCAGGTTGGCATGGAGTTTTCCATCTTGTCCCCTACATGTCTTTCAAAATAAAATGCCTAACATCAGTCTATTAAATACAACAAACAGAAATCCCGACAGTCATACCCTGAATAAATAGCACTATCACCAACCCTCAAACTGTTAAGTCACTCAGAATGAGCATTGCACACTAGAAGCAGACTGAACCAGAAAAGTGTGTGTCCTTACTCCAGACCAGGGAGGAGGGGCCCAAAAACACACATAACGTTCAGTTCATTCCTGTGAATTCTGTTCCCAAGCTATAACTAATTAAAGGATGCCCAAATAAACTACCAAAACTATATAAACATTTACAATCCTTACCTCAATACTTCATTCATGGTGAGCATAAAAAATATCCATTAAGTGAAGTGGTCAGACTATTGCTTAAGACTAAGGTTTTAATTTATTATTTGTGTATATGTACACATATGTGTTTACATATTTGCCAGTACACATTTGGGTGGGGAATAGTATACGTGAAAAATGGAAGTCAACCTCAGTTGTTCTTTACAAGCTATTCACCTTGGTTTTTGAGACAGGGACTTGAACTGAGACATTAGGCTAGGATATCAGGGCAGCAAGCTCCAGGGACCTGCTTATGGCCCCAGTACTGACTTCTTAATGGATGCTAAGGATGGAGTTCAGGCCCTCATGCTTCTAGGGAAAGCATGTTACTGACTAAGCTATCTCCTTGGCCCAACTTAAGGTTTTAGACTAAGAACCCATCAGCCAGGTGTGGTAGCCCATGCCTCTAATTCCAGCAGCATGAGAGAAGCTGATGCAGGAGGATTCTGAGTCTAAGGCCAGCCTGGGCTTCGGAGAAACTTCCAAACCAGTCTGCCTGGACTATTTAGTAAAATATTATAAAAACTAACCTCACAAAAAAGTAATCATTGTGCCTATCAAACCAATTGCTAAAGATCCTAATGCTTGTTTATACAAGCCATTACAAGCAAAAGCTACAAACTCCATAGCATAACCAGTTTAAAAGAAAATACAATATATTTAATAGTCCACTGCTAGGCAAGAAGGCAGTGCTTCCTCAACCCTTATACAGACTTACCTTAGTGTTTTCATACTTCTCTGATGATGGGTGATAAGGTGGGAAAGACCAACTATATGGAGAATCATCACTGTGATTGGAAGATATACCTTGAATTGGGGAAAAGAAAGCTGCTAAATACAATGTGAAAGGTCTTTCAGTACCCCCGCTGCCAAATTAAAATCGAACAACTACACAAGTAGCTCCTCTCCTCTTTGGGCCTCAGTTTCCTTACCTATAAAATCAAGAGCTCAAGCTGGATGACACATTCCATTAAGAACAACTGTCCAGGTCATCCAACTTCCCAATTCCTAAGCCTCAAAACGACAAGATCAGCTAGCCTAGCATATCAGTGAAGTTCCTTGGAACCCAGGCTGGGCACTCTTACCCACCCTCCGGAAGCAACAACCACACAAGGAGAAAGAAAAGCACTATCAGTACCATGAGACAGATGAGCATAGAGAGGTTGAGAGAGGGCCCATGCCTTGCACACTGCCAATCCAATAGATGAATGAGTCAAGACTCAAACCCATGCCTTCAGCAGCAAGGTCAAGTATGCAGTTGTGAAGCATGACTCCAGCCCAAAGCTTAGTAGTTTACTATGTACTGAGCAAAGCAAATAGCATATGAAACCAAGAAAGAATTTGCAAATGTCAAGAGCACAGAAGTGGCTTGGGAGTAAGGGTTTATAAGACACAGAGAACTTCATCTCTAAATCTAGTCATCAGGAAGGAGATCAAAGAACACACACACCTTGTTGGTTTCCCTTCCCAAAATATAATCTCCTCCTCTAGAAAATACTCACTTCCCTCCAGATGCCCTTAGGCAAGTGTGGTAAGTACCAAACTAGGAAGTTTAACTTCTATTCAGCTTTAGGCCACACAAAATGATTCCTGGTACATTTATTTTCAAAACTGAGCAAGGCATAGTCCACCTGACTGCTATTCTCAACCTGGACTGCCATCTAGGTTTCAGAAGAAAGCTCCTGAGCCTGTAAGGTATAATCAATGTGCAAACAGATCTTGGGGATATTCAAGCTTTCTCCTTCGGTGATGAGCATCACCATCCAAATGGACCCAGCACTCTGAAACACACTTCAAATTCATGGATGCCCACACTGACATGTTCCCTGGTAGGGTATTAATCAACTACAGCCCCAGCTTCCCACATATGTGAGTCTCAAAGTCAGCTACACGGCTAAGTTGTGGCAGCACTGAGTCCACAACCAGGTGCCCACATCCCTGATGCTACTGCCCAGTGTAGTCTATTCTGCTTCCAGAGATGTTCATGGTGGTGAAAAGCCAAAATGACCTAAATGATATGCCAGGCTGCTGTGCTGCCATTAAAAAGGAACATGATATAATGGGAAAATATGTACTCTCGCTTGGGGTACAAAAGTATGAACACTATATAGCCATGAATCAGAAAAATACTATGTCCAGAAAACATCAAATGCAGCTTTTCTCAGAGTGGTGCTATTATATATTCTATTCTTTAGTTTCTTCCCACTCTTGAAATCAAGTGATCCTTCTATCATCATTTTAAAGTGGTGTCTATGCTTCTTTTAGGAAGTAAACAACCAGTTTGTCCTGCAGTATTCAAAGTCAGAACATGACACCCAACTTACTTCCTCTTTCTGATACTACTCACAAAGAAAGCATGAGCTTCCCCCGAGCTGTCCATCCAGTCCACACAGTACTTCTGGACATGCAAGGTCCTCAGGTGTGCTTGCCTCAGGCAGGCACCCTGCAAGGCACAGGGTCAGGCCCAGAGCTGGACTGACAGAACCGCCTCTCCAACAGCCTGTGTACTTCCACAACCCAAGCAGCGGGCTAAGTCCCAAAGCACCACTTCCACCTTCTAAATGAAACCAGTTCCTTTCTGTTCTTTCTCATTTGGACTGTGAACATGAAACTAAGTTAAAGAAGGGTTTTGTTTGTTGTCGTTGTCCCACAGAACAGCAGCAATGAACAACAAGTTACCCGTCCTGTCGGGAAAGATCACTAAAACATAGTCTCAACCCAGCAAAAGGTTTCAGTATTCAGGCACAAAACAGAGAGCCCAGGCTTTGGTAACTGAGCAGTACCAGGGTGAAAGACTTTTCCAACCGACATGGTCACGTAGCCATTCTCTTTGAAGTACTGGGGGATGGTGGAAAAATTCCCCGAGTGTACTCTCCAGTAGGAGTTGAAGTCATACAGGCGGGTAGTGTCAGGCCTCCTCCCGGTGAGGAAGGACACTCGACTTGGTGCACACACCGCTTGCTGTTAGGGAGGAGAAGCAAATGTCAACATCATCATAGCCAAATGTGTCTGCAGTCTTCAAGGTAACTAAGCAACCTCTCTAGATCCTCAGCAACTGCCTGGCAGCTGAGTCATGCCAATCTCAAAGCTAACCAGTGGGATTTAGGCCTCGCCCATGTACTAGAGATTATTGTCTTCTGAACAAAAGAAGATAGTTAGAACAAAAGAAGATTGTTATCAGGCTTTCAGAAAAGCAGGGGTGGATGTGTGTGTGTGTGTGTGTGTGTGTGTGTGTGTGTGTGTGTGTGTGCGTGCATGTGTGTGTGTTCCTATGCAATGGCACCCCCAGGTACCCAGAAAGGGTGACACTCTTGGAGGGTAGCCCTGAAAGTGGGCTCAGGGAGAACAACTGCCGTGGATAGATGGCTGACTCTTAGCCACTCACAACTCAGTTGGCAGAGCCATGGGTTGAAATTTGCAGCTCCAGACAGTTCTTGTTTCTGGCTGAAAGGTGGCCAAGCCTGTCTTAAGCATGTCAAGGTAGGGCATAGTCTCCACCCAAAGAGGAGGGAAGCCTTGAAGGCACAAGCTTCCCTGTGAGTGCAGGACAGGCTTGCCTAGGCCTCCATCTTCCAAGCTCTGCTTCCCTCTTTCAAGGAGGTCAACCCTAGGGCAGCAACATGCAGCTCCCTACTGTGCATACACAAAGAGGAACATAACCACAACAACTAAATGTCCCCAGATATACCTGTGCAAAAGCATTCTGAAAAAGAATGCTGTGGGATGCCAGCTGGTCAATGTTTGGGGATCTCACTAATTTGTCTCCATAACAGCCCAGGGAGGGGCGCAGATCATCCACAATGATCAGAAGGACATTCAGAGCATCTGCATAGGAGGGAGGGGCTTTGGTTACATCACATGCACTGACACTGAAAACCCCCCACCCAGGTAAGAAGATCAAGGGTGGGTGGCCCCTGCTCCTTAATAGTCCATCTAGGAAAGGGGCAACCAGGGCTCTGTGCTGCACCAAGAGTGAGAGTGGAGTGCACAGAAGCCCTAATCTAGGGTAAGAGCATTATATATTGGCCATGTCTTCACACCTAAGTGAAGAAGAGAGACAAACAGAGACTAGGGATGGGGTAAAGAAGGAAAAGAAGGAAGGAATAGAGAAGACATATGGAAAGGCAATTAAATAAAAGAAGGATGAATAGAAGGGAGGAAGAAGAAAGGGAAGGATGGAAGGAGGGGTAATAGAAGGAAATGGATAGAAGGAAGGAAAAGGATGTTAGACAGATGTGACATGTACCTGTGGATGGCGCCACGCCCATGTATATATGGGAAGCAAAAATTGGACTCAGTGGAATTAAAAACAAAAATAAGACATGTAGTTGAGGGTGGGGTGGCTCTGGGTAGAGTTAGGGGTAGGAATGGGGAGTGAGTGTTATAAAAATACGTTGCATGCACTCATGAAATTCTCCAAAAAAAAAAAAAAAAAAAATCAACGAGAAAGGAAAGATGAGATGATGGAGTGAAAGCATGAAGGGATGGAAAGGAGAAGAGGTAGGAAGGAGGAATGAATGAAAACTTAATGCAGGCTGAAGAAATGAAAGGAAGGAAAGATGTGTAGAGGGTAGGTAGGAATGAAAATGTGGGGGGAAGAGATGAAGGAGGAGAGAAAAAAGAAGATAGGATGGATGAAAGAAGAAACATTAGCTGGGATGATGACAAGGTTGGATAGGGCAAGGAATGAGGAACTGGCACCTGTAGCTGAGTCGCCTAGCGCCGCGGACTCCAGGGTGAAGCAGAAGGAGCCTAGCAACAAGCTGAACCCAAGCAGGCGCCAGCCAAGAGGCGGCGGCGGCGGCGGCGGCGGCATCTGCGACATTCCTGCTTCGGTGCAGCCTTGCGGGAAGGTGTCGTCCGGCTACAGCACGACCATTGGATAGCCTTCCCCGTCGCCGCCGCCGCCGCCGCCGCCGCCACCACCACCACTGCCGCCGCGGCGACAGCCGCCTCTACCGCCAGTCTCAATCACACTGCGTGACACCGCAGCCTCGGGCCCAAAGGCCCGGGCGCTGGCCCAAGCGCGAGTGCGCTTGCGTGACTCCTCCTGCCTCTCCCTCTAGGGGAGGAGCCTGTGGTGCAGGAGGTCCCTAAGCGTGAGCCGCCGCCGTAGTGGGCGGGACCTTAGCCGGAAGCTTAGGGGCTGTGGCTTTTCCAGAGCACATTTTACCGTAGACAATGGTGATGGGAAACTTGATGTTCGGAATGTTTTGCTATTGAACTAGTTTCTTAGTCTCTTTCCTGTGCCAGTTACCTGGAACCCCTGTTCTACCCTTGTCTCTCTACAAATGTTAATTTTCCTTGCACCTCTTCTGCAGAAAAGCCTCTTGAAAATTCATTATACCTAAAAGGACCTTTTATCCTACATATTATCCTACTTATTAAACACTGCATTCACACACACACACACACACACACACACACACACACACACCGGTTGCTGTTGGCAGTGCTGGAGTTTTCAGTTCCTACTCTGATTAAGCTTAAAATATACTTGTAGAATGTACCTGGGCGTTCCTGGTCTGAACAAAATAAAGCTGAGTGGGAGGATCTTATTGTTTTCTATGAGGTAGTCTAGTCAGAACTTCCCTGTTAAAGTGATAGTTAAACAAAAGTGAGAAGGAAAGGAGCAAGCCAGTTGATGTGCATATAAAGAGGGGACAGCAATTATGGAGCATAGTTAAGAGAGACGGTGACTGCAGCCAGGCAGGAAAAGAGCTCTGGAGAAAGAAGAAAGTGAGTGGGAATTGGACTACTGTAACATGAATTATTCCCTGCTCATTTTGGACTGAAGACCAAGAACGACTCCATGTCCTATCTCTATGAAATGGAGCTTCTGAAAAACTTAGACCCTCCATCTATGAGTCATCCCTAACCCCATCCTTGCCTATAAAATACAGCACAATGGTAAGCATACTGATGAAAGTTTTGCAGTTTTTGTTGCAGAAATATTGATATTGTAGCATCCTACCCTCCAGATAGGTAATGTTTCTTCTCATAACAACACTATGTGCTACATGCTACTAATATTCCCATTACTGTACAAAAATGATAAGTCTGAGAGTTTACATCTTATGAACAATGCCATTCATCCAGGAAATTGGGGGACAGGACGGCTCTCCATGAGGAGCATGCCTCTTGAGGTGTCAAAATTGATGTTTTCTAAGAAATGAAATATTTTTTGAATAGACAAAGATATGAAATGTCCTCAACCTACATTAATGTTTTATTTCATTCAAAAATTTAAAGGAAATCACATAACTTCACTAAAATCTAAAATGTTTAGCTGAACACCATCATAAAATTAGGCCTGTCTAGGCTAGAGAAATTGCTCTGTGGTTACCAGCATGAACATTATGAGTCACATCCACTCATAACACCAGTTCCAGGGGATCTGAAACCATCTTCTGACTTCTGCAGGTAGCAGGCACACATGTGGTGTACATACATACATGCAAGTAAAACATTTGTACTCATAAAATCAAATAAATAACTCTAAAACAAAAAAAGGCAATAGTCTTGGGAAACTCAGTGCCTGAATGAGATTTAATAGACACATCCAAAGAAAACAAGCAATTCTTTCTATATAAAATTTATACAAAAGCTATTAAACAAATTTCTAGAATGTTAAATAATTTCTGTCTGACTCCCTTTCAATTAAATTTAATAATCACAATGCATATATTTATTATTTCTTGCTGTGGTCAGAAAGCTGACTCTGAAGGCTGGAGATATGGCATATGGAGTTATGCAAGCATAAGTACCAGATTTCATATGCTAAAACCATAGTAAAATCATTACAAGGCCATCTGCAACTTCAACACTGAGGAGAGAGGGCAGAGACAGTAGCATCACTGGGACTTGCTTCATGCCAACCTAGCTGAAAAATATCAAAACATAAAAGGCCTTTTGCATTCCTCCACATCCCCCGTGATGAAAGGCCAGGCACAGAATCATTCAAAGATGGCTTCGGAGAAAAGATTCCTTCATCTAACCTTGGCTCCCACTTGGATTTTGCTCTTGGTGTTTCTTTCAGGTGTGTGGCTCCTTTTCTCACTAAAGGAAACCTTAATGGAATCTACACAGCAATGGATGATCACAGCATAGATGATAAACCAGATACAGTTGAGCTATTTTAACTCTTATTAAAAAGCTTTATTTACCAAACATTTTAACCCACTCTCGATTACACATGTACAGCCATATGAAATTTTATTTTTGGAAAAGATTTTATTAATACTATTTATACTTACATGAATGACGTGAGTAATTTGAAAAGCACTGGCTTTCCCGGAGACCACATCTCAGGGGTGGGTTCATTTATTCTTTTGTTTGAAATGTCAGCAAAGGCTTTCAGGAGCATTTTGTTAATATGGGAAAAGAATAGAAGAATAGAAATTGCCATGAGAACTACGGCTTAATATTTTTCTCCAGCTGAGAGTTCCACAATCATTTCCACAAGACCTCCTTCTTTTGAAGTTAGCACCTCAGCCTGTGGGACTTGTCACACAGAATCTACTGGATTGAACACAAATATGCATAAAGAGATGTATAAGTGTTGGGTGATGGTGGCACACGTCTTTACTCCCAGCACTCAGGAGGCAGGGGCAGATGGATCTCTGAGTTCAAGGCCAGCCTGGTCTACAGAGTGAGTTCCAGGTCAGCCTGGACTGTTTCCCAGAGAAATCCTGTCTGGAAAAAAAAACAAAAGAGAGAGGGATGTACATGTGAAGAACTAAGGAATGTCAGAGACATTGAAGAACACAAGAATCAAGGAGCATGCAAGGAGTGGTCCCTTCCACCACAGGTTTCAGAGAGCCAGCTGCCATTTTGATTTCACAGGACTCTCCTCCAGAACTGTGGGGTACAGTTGTCTAAGTCACACAATTTGTGGTGCAAGCACTTTAACACAACAGCTCTAGAAAACAAAGAATTTTAAAAACAATTTGAGGTTAAGACAATTGATGGTAGTTCAGCCTATAGGTGTGGGCCTGTGAGCATATTTACTCAGATGGTTGGGGAAGGGGCAGCACAAGTGCAAGGCATCTTGAGAAACTTACTTAGAACCTGTCTCAAAAAAAAATCACTAAAAGAAACATTAAAGGGAAGAGAATCTAGGCCAGTGATAGAGAAATGACCTAGCATGTATAAGGCTCAGGGTTCAACTGGCCTAGCATGTATAAAGCCCCGGTACTGCAAAACAAACAAACAAAAACCACACAGGACAATCTTAGCCAGCTCTTAGAGACAGCATTTATGCTGATTTCCAAATAAATTAGCTCACCATAACCTGGGCCCAAGCTGAACAGTCCACACTGCATTGTCTTATCATAACACAAACACACTTCTAGGATGCATAAGAAAACTAAGTAGCCTTCACATGCTTCTATATTACCAAGGATGTTCTGGGCCTATCCAATGTACTTATGCATCAGAGCTATGCTCATCTACTTACTACAAAAGTCAGTTCTGTGAAATTTCCCAGATACCATCCAGAAAATGGTCACAAGTACTATTGCGCTTATACTACTAATGTGTCCTCACCTATGGCTGTGTCTCAAGGGGAACGAGAGACAACGAACATGAGTAATTAATAGTGTGCTACACTGCTATTGTCAGGATGTGTTTACGTATGATGTGTGTGTGTGCATGTGCCTATATGTGTATATGTATATTATTTGAATATTCTGTACCTTATTTTTGATCATTATAATAATTCTAATCTTCCAGGATGCCTTTGCCAAGGTGCATGTGTAAGGATGGAAAAATTTAGCCTAATTTTCCCTAGACTCTGCCCCCTAGCAGTAAGTAGGCAAAAGGTAATTCTTGACTGTTTACGATAGTGCGGTTTACCTACAGCACCTGTGAGTGAACGAACACAAGAAATGAATTTTGTAACACTACCCAGAAGCCCTAGCGAAAGCAGAGGTCCTAGGCTAAGTGCGGGCTTGGATAGTTCAAATTGATTTGTCCACACTGGATGCTATGAGATGATTGGTTTGTGATGCGCGGGCTTTGTTGTAACCCTATAAAAGCTGTCTGAACACTGTACCCAGGGTTCCCAGTCCTCTACCCCACGTATGGATGTGGACCCCAGTGCACTGGAATATAAAAGACCTCATGCTTTTGCATCAAAACTGCTTCTCATGAGTGATTTGGGGGGGGTGCCTTTCCTGAGCCAGGGTGTGAGGGTCCATGCCCTCCACGGGTCTTTCACATGCAGATTGCCAGGCCTGGATGTGTGTGCTTCCTCTTGCAGGTAAAAATCAGGGGCGCTCCAGTTAATTATAGCTGGTGCTCACTGATCTAGACAGCTCTGTCTAGAACGAAGCATATTGAACACAAAACTGTAGCTTCGGAAAGCCTCTTGTCCACTCACAAGATGGGTTCCAGGGCTTGATGGGTAGGCTCTTTGTGGTATGCTATATACCTTCCACTCACTGCTGTATCTCTGTTAGCATTGTTTTCTAGGCTTCAATAACTGCCTAGAATAAAATAAATGATGCTGACAATATGCCTGAGAGTGAATCGCTCACAGTGCACTCAGCCTCAGGCTGTGAAGACACTTACACCTTAGAAATAAGGGCAGGAGTGAACTCTGTGGACACATGAAATTGTGTGCCCAGTTGGAAAAGAACATTCATTGCACTTACAAAGTGTGATAAGCGTTCAGCCCAATGTTTGAAAGAGTGGCAATGGGGCTCGTCTCTCCTGCTGTCTGAAAACTCTGGATAAACACATACAGACCTAGGTCATCATGGTTTCTGGCAGCTCAAGTTAATTGCATCACAGCCAGACTCTGACAGTCTTCTTTCCTAAGGGTACAAGTAGAGCCCCATGGGACACAAG